ACCACCACCACCTCCGCAATTACTACTAATACTGCTCCGGCTACTACTACTTTGGGAGCCAACAAATCACAATAACGGTATTGGCATGTGGTAGTTCATGTGGTTGTGGCTGTGACGGCTGCTGTGGTGGTTGTTGTTGTTGATGATGAGTTTGTTTTGCTTGTTCTCGTTATTGTTCTTGTTGGTGGTGGTGGTGCTGTCAGCAGGTGACCGTGGCAGAGAAATAGCTATGCAGTAGACAGGAGGCCAGTGGCAAGATTGTTCTATCGCCCCCGCACCGCAGCTGTTTTCCAGTCAAGCGGGGCCTCCCATGGCCGGCACTTCACCATGGAGCGCCGGTGGTCCCATGGCTCTCACCGGCCTTTTCCAGCCAGCTGTTTGACGGTATGTGGGATGATGTTTACGAGTAGTAGCCGCCCAAAACCATGGCATTGTGTAGCAAGGTACCTGTGTCTGAGCATCCTGGCATCCAATCGTTGCATCGGTTGAGTTGTCACCTTGGATAAGCAGTTGTTGCTGCTAGTTACTAACCTGCTTTTAGGGCTTCGAGGCAGAATCTTGTCGATCGTAGTTCAGCCAGTTTCCCCTTAGCTGTCGTCGGGCCTACTCATGCTCTACTGTACTGCATCTCTCGCTTGTAGTTTTGGACGCCCCTTGCCTGGAGCTCAAAGCAGAATGCGCAGCCTTGTGGTCCTGGTCCTGGTCTACTCCTCTTAAGGAGCCGGGATTGCACGCCTGGGCACCTGATAGCCGCTTGTTCTGCACAGACGTAATGAATTGCACAAGCTTCGCGCCATCTGCCTCAGCCCAATTCGAGGAAGCAGAGAGCAACAGATCACAAGCATCGGAGCGATAAACCCCTTCCCAAATTCAGTGGAGACAACAATTGGCACCACAGGGACTGGAGCGGAGGTTGATGGGAGTGTGGAGGGTGGGGAAGAGGGGATTAACTGCGGCCGTGCGGTTGAAAGTGAGCTTACTGCTGCGAGCCCATCTTCAGCAGTCTTGCACACACAAGATCAGAGTTGGCAGCGCGACCCTTCGTCATCCGAATCTTGGTGGTCCGGAGGCTCGCTAGGTTCGATGATGTTCGGGCAGCAGCAGGAGAGGGAGACAGCAGTACTCGTAGGTTCGAGAAAGTTGTCGCTGCCATGGTCGGGACCTCCGAGAGCTTGCGACGTTTGGTGTCGTGTGGTGTCTTCGTTCTGCAAGCTCAAGAGCATACAGTATGGGTCGCAACAGCTTTTATTGCTGGAGGCAGACCAGTCTGGGGGGGGGGCTGTCCCTTAGGCCTGCGGAACGAAAGAAAGTGCTTCACAACACGTCGTTGATCAGATTAGCAGATGTTGGAATCAACGATTCATTCGAGTGTAGCGGTGTAGCGCGTATCTTGTCAACGAGGAATGCCTCCACGACATCGCCACGCGCCTTGCGCTGGAACACGAGCGGCAGGTGCCGACCATGGGATGTAGGGGGTGCCCAGCAGAGGACCAATGCTGCAGATTCCGAACTGGAAGCTTTGTGTCCCTTCTCGGTTGCGAACCACCACCTGTGACACGGTGTTCCATTGCTGACTTCGAAGTTGTGTCGAGCCCTTCGATCTGTACCTCAACGAAGGCCCCTGTGCCAAGGGCACTTTGCAGCTTTGTGGGCTAACACCTCCCTTTTCCCTTTTGCAAGGCGGCAGCGCTGCGGACCCTGCAAGAAGAGAACGAAAAGCGGCCAGCCTGGCGTTCAGGAAAGCTCTTCACTATTCCTTGAAAGCCCTAAAGCTTGCAAGCACGATTTATATGTCCTGGCAAGAAACGACTTTCAGTAGCGTTTGTCTCAATCCACAAACCCTCTTTCTGTCTGTCTAGGCAATATCCTGCCGCCAAGCCAGGCATACACCAGGCAAACTTGAATTCCTGTGATCAGGTTCATATCTCTCGCCCGATAGGCCCTTCCCTGACTACCAACACAGTTATAGTTTGGGGAAAATGTTGTTCCGAGCATGGCATCTTTAAGACTGCCTTTTTGCATAGTTCGAAGATGTTTGAGGTTGATCCCTTTTGGTGTAGCTGAGGCTCAAGGAAGCCCCTTCAAACGATCTTTCGTGCCTCGGCTTCAGTGCAGATAACTACGAAATTTGATGCTTTGTTTGTCTGCACGGCAGGGCTTCTAAAGGTGTGTTTTGGGAATGGCTATAGCAGGCAAGAGAGAGGGAGAGAATGGCGAGAATCGGGGCTGCAACATGCGTCGGCAAAAATAATATGAGGAGAGAGAGAGAGAGAGAG